CCCTGAACCCTGAACCGCTTAACCCTGAACCATGTTGTGCAGGTCATGGACAACATCGTGAATCCGAAGAGGGTGCGAGCCTGAAGCACTGAGCAACTAAAGGGTTTAGGGTTCAGGGCTTGGAAGCCTAAATAGCCACCAACCGTATCTTGACATGGGTTCGTGGGCATTAGGTAGGGCAATGTAGGGTACCTCGGGACTAGGAGTGGAGGGAAGGGTGGGGCGGCAAATAGAAGCAGAACTCTTTGGAGTTCACAAGGTGATTGATTTTAACTCCTGAATAATTCTAATTACCTGATGCATTTCCTCAGAATTCCTTACATGGCACGTTCTCAACGTTATGCTCCTTGTTCGCGCCCACAGAGGTTATTTCTTTGACGGCTTTCAATATGATTATAGTGCTACCAGCTCAACGTCTCAAAACGATATATGGTAGTTTCTCAAAATAAGGGGGGCCCAGTATAGACGCTAAAAATACGATAGTCGTTATTATGGGGACGCCCCAAAGATCTTTAGAGGTATATACCCTTGATTTTGGGGAACCCTAAACCCTGTATATCCCTAGATATCTATACACCCCTATTTCCCCTTTAAGGGTACCCTAATTTTGGGCAAGCCCCATATTGCATGCCGCTTACCGTACGTACCTTTTGACCAGACATCCGGCCTGGCCTTAACCCACTGAGAAGGCAGTTCACCGTACGAGCTATAGCCCAAACTCCTTTAAGGGGGAGGTATATAGGGGACTATAAGGGTTTAGGCTTTAGGGGTTTAGGGTTTAGGGTCCCCTTTATCTAGGGTTTAGGCTTTAGGATCTAAACTCTGGGGGGTTATACGGGGGATTGTATTGGAGTATTAGAGGGATTATTAAGGGGGATACTTAGAGTTCAGACTAAAGCCTGAACCCAATTAGACTATAGCTCCTTCCGCAGGGTATCATTTAAGTGGACCCCCTATAAGGGATAATAGGGATTATATTAGGGTCCTCTTATATTCCGATTATACCACTATTACAGGGTGGGGAGTCCTCCTAAGGTATCATGTAAGCGGCCCTTCGACTATGGTCTAACAACAGCTCTGGTCTAACGAGAGCCATGTCTGCAGGGACCCCCATAGAAACCGTGTGGATTGTTTAGGGTTTAGGACTTAGGGCTAAGGGTTAGAGTTGAGGGTTTAGGGTTCAGGGTTTAGGGTTGAGGTTTGGGGTTTAGGGTTTTTGGTTGTGGTAAAGCCTCTGTAAGAGCGCGCAGTCAGATGTCAATCTTCACGTGGTACCTCATGAGTTAGTCCATTCGGGACATTCGCGACCGCAACAGGAACCCTGCAATACGGAATGCCACTATAACTCTAGGTTTCTTACAGTGCAGTGCGGTTGGTAAGTCCAAATTAGACCCAAAAATGGAGCCCTGCCGAATTGAACCGTTACTACCTTGGGCGAAACTTGAGGATTATTAGGGGTTCAATTTTTCGGGTCCTTTGGGGGGCTAAATAGTAGTTTCCATTTGTCCATTGTGCTATGTAACCCTATGTAACCCTAATCCCTAGAGCGGAAGGTCCTAAACCCTAGTCTCTAAGCCCAAAAACCGGAAGGCCCTTATCCTGACATTGAAACCAGTGCAAAGGAGTTGATCGTCCCTCCTGATGCCTGAAGCTCAGTTATCGAGGTCTATATAGGAGCTTTAGTTTAGGGCATAGGGATGATTAGGGTGTACAGTCCCCCTTAAGTAGATAGAATAGGGCTTTGGGTAGATTAGAAAAAGATCCCCATATACCCCATATTCTATCCACTTAAGTGGGACTACAGGGATTAGGGTTTAGGGATTACGGTTTAGGTTTTAGGGATCAGGGTCTAGGGTTGCAAATTTAGGGATGTAGATGGTGTAGATGGGCTACTGTCAAGATTAGGCTTAGCAAGGGACCATCAAGGGCGAACATACGTGTCCCTTTCGTGTCGTTTCTTTGGAATAGTCCTTGGTGTGTTCTTTACACAGGACCCATGTCCATTTATTTACTGGATAATACTGATTGTAGCTCATATGAGCCATAGTCCAAACTCCTAGTATCCTCCTGAAGAGCTCCTATAGCATAGTCCCCTCTACAATACTCTATATAGTAACCCCTTCTAAGGAGCTTTAGACTGTAGCTCGTATGAGCTTCTTTGGGTGGTTCGACTCGCCTTCCTAGCCGCAAGGTCCCTCGGCTCCCTTGATGAAAGACATTCCCCCATATCCAAGGGTAGCACACCCTAAATCCTAAACCGGGATTATTTCATGATTGTCGGGTGGAGTTTAGGATTTAGGGTTTAGGGTGGAGCAGTTCTGGCTTCATGGTACCATCTTCCTTGTTTGAGGTTGCCTTTCCTGTGACGGGTCATTGTTGAAAGCGATTGGCCTGTTCACTGCTGCCATCTACCCTACACCCTAGACACCCACAAGGCCTAAACCCTCAACCCAAAAGCCCTGTAAGCCCTAAACCCCTATCAGCCCCAAACCCTGAAGCCCTAGCAGCCCTAAGCCCTAAGCCCCTACAAGCCCAAAACCCTGAGGCTGGCAGCTTAAAGCATTGGTGTTGCGTGACAGGATGGAGTTTACATCTACGGCCTCTTCATGGAAGGTGAGCGGGTTTAGGGTTTAGGGTGAAGGTGAGCGCAGTGTATCTCACGTTTACAGATCCTCCGGCTGATGCCAAGACGTGCATGACCTTGATTCCCTTATACCTCGGGAATCATGGTATTTAGTGAATGCTAAAGTCATGCAGAATTCTTAAGATCAACCGTTCCCAAGGAAGATCCTGCAACCTGCTTATGTGGGAGCTTCTCGACATAGGGGCTTGAAGGGACCGAGGGAAGTGTAGGGATGATAGGGAGATGATCTTGTGGAAGTTCAAGGATTCTGCAGGAAGAAGATTGGAGCAACTCCCATGTGTTAGAGTAGCTAATATGGGGTATATTGGGGCTATATGGGGATAATGGAAAAGAACATGGAAACTACTATAATGGGTTGAAGTTATATAGGGTATAGAATATGGGGCATATGGGGATCTGTTGGTGTTTGAGATTCGCACTGCGAGTTACCCTCAACAAGGGTTTAGGGGTCTAGTGTTGAGGGAACAGCCTAGCCCGGAACCACCTCAAAGCATTCATCGCTGTCCACGCTCGAACACCCGACAGGAAGGCCTTCCCAGATTCTGAAGCTGAACACTCTGGGCGTCACTGAGACACCCTGGATAAGCCTCAAACCTCACACCCCAACACCACTCTGTATATGCAAATGTAGTTAAATGAATACAATGCAACCGCAGCCAAGACCCTGACAATCTCTGCATATGCCTGGGGTCTCGAGGGACCCTTATCTTGCATTGGCAGGCGCTCGCTGGGACAACTCCACCCACATGGTGCGCCTTCAGCTATCGGAGCATCAACAAACAGAGATCTCGAATAGAATGCTCATGTGTATGTATGTTTGTATGTGTATGTCTGCCTGCCTGCCTGCCTGCCTGCCTGCCTGCCTGCCTGTCTGTCTGTCTGTCTGGGTGTGTGTGTGTATGTATGTATGTATGTATGTATGTATGTATTTATGCATGCATGTATGTATGCATGCATGCATGCATGCATACGTATGCTGGCAAATTTGAATAGACAGATATATAGATATGTATTTAATGTGTATGTATGTCCATGTTTACAGGAACCTGAAAAGGGACCCAGGCAGCGGCTGTCACGTGTTGAGAAAATTCAAAGGATGTGTCATTGTGGTGTAATGTTTGCCTGTGGATCAAGATTTCAGGGTGTAGGGTTTATCCTGAACCCTAAACCTTATAGGGTTCAGGGCTGAATCCATTCACTGTGGCAGCAGGAAGCAGACTGCCTTGACTATACGTAGGCTCTTCACCTTCGTAGTGAACACCACCTCCCATGCTCAGTTTCCTGCTGGTTCTCAGGTTTAGGAATCAGCATTTCAAGGGTAACCCGAAGCCCCCAATTTGGGCGTCTTCACACACATGCTGTTCAAGATCAGCTTTGCAAGTACTTTTCTGAAGAAGATTACTGCAAGTCCATGACCGTCATCCTGCGCCGCACCAATCCGGCAAACCTGAAGCGGTTTAGGGTCTATTAGGGTTTAGGGTCGACATGTTTTGCCCAAGGGTCCAAGTGCCGTAATAATGGACCTGCACGTCACAAGTCTAATGACGCAAATCCAAACGGTAGTTGGGACCTAAAGCCCTAATTTTCGGGTAATTGCACCCTTGTAGGGTTAAACCTGTCCCCCTAACCTCACCCCCAACTGGGTGGGCCTTTGGGGGGTATTCAAAATTGTCCCTCATTTGTTCTATGAGGGCCCTACATGCCTAAGCTTGTTCAAGGGGCCCTACATCCTAAACCCTAAACCCTAAATCTCAAACCCTAAACCCAATCAAGCCAAGTAATGCATTCTCCGTGCCATCCGGCAGCTTCAACTACGCGGCAAGCCCTGGACTCCAAACAAATGAACCTGACTGGGTTGCTGCTCAGGAAATTAAACTCAGTTACCATAATAGAGCTATATAGGGTTTAGGATTTAGGGTTTAGGGTGTAGGGCTTAGGGTCTAAATTACCATAATATGGGTATATCGGAATTAATATGGGTGTATAGTAACTAATGGGGTTCCTTCTTATAGTAACTTAACTTAAGTCCCTTAACAGCACCCTCGCTGAGTGCACCTTTGCTCACCCCTAAACTCCATGTAACCGCGGCGTAAGCCCTATATCCTCTTTAAGGGGAGCAGTATGGAACCCTAGCGTTATGCGCCCCATAGCGTTTAAAGCTGTAGGTCCTCCTAATTAAGCCCTAAACCCTAACCCTAAACCCTACACCCTAACACCTAAACCCTAACCCTAAACCCTACACCCTAAACCCTCACCCTAAACCCTAAACCCTGAACCGCGTATGCACGCCACACAGCCCAGCTGCGCAGGTCCAGGAGTCCCAGCCTAAAGTACTCTTCACCGAGTTGCCGTCGCTATGGTTCTTGCCAGTGAAGGAGCGGCTTTTGCCAGGGAGTGAGAGAAGAAGAATGGAGAATCAATTGGGGGGTTCCCAAATTTGGGGGTCCCCTTTATCAGGATTATAGTATTGGGGGTCTATGTTGGGTCCCCCTATTTGGGGAAACTACCAATTTGAAAATCAAAGCAAACTACTATGTACAGCAAATGTGTAGGGAGGATATGAGGGTCAGGGCGTCAGTCAGCTTGCTGTTGTATACAAAGGAAAGGAAAACATTCTAGAGACTTTACAGGGGATTGCTTACGGAATATCATGCTACTATTGGGATCTACTGCCAGCCAGTATTAGGTGACATGGTCTGGATTTCTCTCCCTAAACCCTAAACCCTAAACGTACGTAGATGGTTTGACCTCCATGAGAAGGCGCTTGTTTCACGGATCTGTAGTGTTATCTTAGTCTTGGCGAGGTACAGATGTTTGGGACTGTAGGCATGTGTGACTTCTAGTAACCCTAAGGGTCCAAGGACCCAAATAATGGGGTTTTAGGGCCCAAATACCATAATCTTATTGGTATTTGGGCCCTAAAACTCCATTATTTGGGTCTTGACCTTTAGGGTAAATCAAGGAGAGGTAGGTAGTAACGTTAGACTTAGACCAGGGTATCGGGTCCGCCATTGCACGTGGGCAAGCGTGCAGGCATGCATCCATTATTGTTGACGTTCTCTGACGGCGCAGGACCGCAAGCCCAATCCAAAGGATTACCGATGCCCGACCTACAAGGCCGGCACCTCCCATGCGAGCCACAATCTAAACCCCGCAAAAAAGGGGGATGTTACATAAGGGACTAGTGCAGGGTATATTAAGGGGGATACTAGGAGTTTGGACTATCAATAATGTGGGACATTAGTTTTGTTAGCTTGCTGGCTCTTAGTACGACAGTGAGTACATACTGTGGTTTAATATTATTGTTTATTACCGCTGTTGTTAGTTGCATAGACTTATAGCTTGATTTGAGTGATGTTTAGGGTCATACTGGGGCTGGGGCTGTCATAGCTAAGATGTCCTTATGACGTTGCAAAGCCTGAGGCCGCGTTTTTGTCCGATACCCTAAACCCAAAAGAGCCATTGGGCCCTTATGCGAGGAACGGTTCCTGTTCTGGGGATCAGTGTTGAGGGCGTGACGTTTGGAGTCCCTGTGGGAGCATAGTGTTCCAACCATAGATGTAGGTACTGCAGAGAAGGGCCTACAGTTGAGGTCTAGGTGCCTTTGGCATGGACAAGTAGCGCATGACTATTTGGAATCCCATGCTTGTGTACACCATGCTTGCGCCTTTGTATCGAGAGTATCCTGCCCATGTTTGCACATGCGCCACAAAAGTTGGGGAGCCGTTGCAGTAGGCAAGGAAATGAGTAGCCTGAAACACGTACCCGAGAAGCAGCCTAGCCCTACCTGTTGTTTGGATATTCACTCCCAAAGGGGCAATGTAGTGATTATGCAGCCTCTTTGGGCCCTGAGTATGAAGTATATTACTAAATGGACCCTTTGGGATCGGTGTTGTGGTATTGAGGTACTTCGCTTGCAGAAGTGGCTTCCTTTTGTACCAACGCAGCACTTTGACAGTAGTCCTCACAACAGCTACGACGCGGAGAAGTTGTTTATTTTGTAGTGTTTCTTCGCTGCCACTTGCAAAGCTCCCTCCATGAGTACGTCCACAAGTGGGGTCCAATTAACATGCCCTCCAATACGCTAGTCTTATTACTGGGCCTCCCGCAAAGCGACCAATAACGTCTGGAAATCCCAAGTCCTGCCATATTCCTGTGCACCCGCACATAACCCTCACAAGCCCCTTAAGGGACCCCGCCACTTTTGACACTCAAAACGGGGGCTGGAGTCAGGTGCTCTCTCGAAAGGGGACGCTGCTCACCACTGGGCACTCGACAAATTTCGTTCTCTACCTGGAGCTCCCGACGGATCAGGCTTCCTTGCGCGATTTAGGCTTCAGGATTTGTGCAGTCGGATTCTAGCTTTTTGGGTGTAGAGCTTCCAAGCAGGATTCTAGGTTTAGGGTTTATGGCTTCCAAACAAGATCCTAGGATCAGGGTCTGGGTGTTAGGGCTTTGCAGCTGGGTTATGGGTTTTTTGGGCCGGACTCAGACTACATTGCAGAACCGCACTGCTGTACGCATGCAAGCGCATTGCTTAATTACGCCACATGCCATTGTTTTGTTCTATGATACAGGTAGTGTTCCTGTTGCGACCGATGCTTGCTTCTATATTGTACCGACCCCTAAATCCTGACCCTCCCCCAACCCTTTCCGCGCACAAGCACGGCGAGGCTGTGGCCAAGTGGATCAAGGCTGGAGTGGCCTCATTCCTGGCTTTGTCTCTTGGGTGCAACAGCAGTTTTAGGGCTTTAGGGTTTAGGGCTGGTTTTAAAAGAGGGTCAAGGGTCAAGTTTAGGTTTAGGGTTGGAGGGGTTTACAGCTGCAGCCTGGGGTTTAGAGCTTAAAGAGTTTCAGGTTTAGGGCTTATAGGGGCGTAGGGTTTAGGGCCGAAGTTTTGGGTTTGAATTTCGGTTAGGGTTGGTTTTAGGTTCAGGGTTTAGGGTTAAAGTGTTGGGTTTTCAGGTCTAGGGGTTGGCTTTAAAAGGATGTATATAGGTGGTTGTCAAAATTATGGTCCTTTTTTCGGGTACCCTAAATATTAGGTGCCGTATTAAAATAGGGATCCAAAAAAATCCCATAATTTTGACAACCACCCATATATGTCTAGGGCTTTAGGGTCTCATGGGGTTTAGGGAGACGTGTTCCCATCTTCTTAGAGGGCTACAGCTGACAGGACGGTGGGCTGCTAGGTGTAGGGCTTACAATTTTTTAGCGTTTAGGATTCAGGGTTTGGGTCTAGGGGGTTTACTGAAGAACCCACTTAAAGAGTTAGTCAAAAAAAAACGGGGGGGCCTGTACAGGCGGTTAAACACATACAGAGTCTAGGGTTTGGGGTTTAGGGCTTAGGGTTTCTGTTGAGCGGCGGTGAGTTACCCTGGCCTTCTTTGCAGTAGCGTGGTGTTGGCTCTGGTATGGTTCTTGGCATGGCCGTCCAGATGAAAACAGCTAAAGCTAAGGCTGAAGCCAGGGGCCCCTAGTA